TCAAAGGCTTGCACGATTTCCAGCACACAATAAATCAGTATAGCAAATACCTAAAGTGTGCCTCTCGGCAGTCTCAGAAATTCCTTGGGCCTTCCCAAATCATTTCTGTCTTGGCTGCGTTCTCTTTGCTGTCATCCGCTAGATAACTTGTGCTACTCGCTCAGTTAACTGTGAAAAAGGGCGAGTGTACATTTAAGTAGAACTCTCCCGCCACCTCCAGAGGCTGAGGCTGGAATCCAGACTCAGCCCTGCTTCCCTGCCATCTGATGAAGAGGGCGTTTTGAGAGCACAGCCCTGCATTTGAGCTGACCTCCATCGCTGCCATCTCAGGCGCTGAACAGCACCAGCAGCACCTGGGCGTTAAGACACCACTCTCACTTCCTGGGTTGTTTTTCTCCAGCACTTTCACCAGACTTTCTCCACAAAGCACCCACCGAAGGCCAAGCAATCGGCTGCCAGAGCCCTGGTGGCGCAGTGGTTAACAGCATGGCTGCTAGGCAACAGGTCGGCAGCTGGAATCCACCAGCAGCTCCTTGGAAACCCTATGGGGCAGTTCTACTCTGTCCTGTTAGGGTCGCTATGAGTTGTAATCGACTTGAGGGCAATGGGTTTTTTTTTAATTGGCTGCCATTAGATGAAACCTTTCAGCACCAGTTCCAACTGGAGGGTGAGTCAGTGCCCTGCTGCCAGAGTAGCCTCCTTGTTGGTCTCCGAAGCCAGAACCAGGAATGGTGTTTCAAAAGGCAGAGGGCGATCCTGGGCCCACGCCCTGGACCGCCCAAGATTAGGTGAAACGGCAGGCCCCACTCCATGGCACCAACTGGATTTCTGCTCTCAGCCGGTGAGTGACTGGCTGCAAGGGCCCTGCAGCCTCCACTCCTGCACCTCACCTCTACTTCAATTACCACAAGAGCTGTGTGCTAAAACACAGTTTCTTGGGGGATATAGGGCTGGCAACTGAGCAGCTTCCCCTACCTCTCCCAAGAGGGCAAACAGGGTACACTTGCTCTGCTCACATATTTACATGGTCTTATTTCTAAATAGGAGCCTTGGTGGCACAGTGGTTAAGAGCACGGCTGCTAACCAAAAGGTCGGCAGTTCGAATCCACCAGCCGCTCCTTGGAAACCCTATGAGGCAGTTCTGCTCTGTCCTATAGGGTCGCTATGAGCCAGAATCAACTCGACGGCAATGGGTTTTTATTCCTAAATGACAGTTGAGTGTTTGGTTACTTTTTGTATTTTTTTTTATTTTTTTGTTAAGTATGTTATTCAGTTTTGAAAACTGCTAAGGACTTGTTAGTCTTAGCCAGATCCTAAGAGGCAAGTAATTAGGATAATACAACAAAATAACAGATGGCTACTTTGGGGCCTCCATCATCTGCCTTAAAAAAAGAAAAGAAAAAAAAAGACCTACATGGAGAAAAACAAAACATCATCAGAACTTTCAAATAATTAACTCACACCTAAACAGCCCCAGCCAAAGGTCCGGTCTAGCCACAGAGGCCCCGCAAGCAGTGATGTTTCAATGAACCTGCAAGCTTAACAAACAAGGTGTTTCCTCCTGCTGCAAAGCGAAGTTTCGATGAGTAGTTTTCAAAAGATCTCACCCTTCCAGGAGAGCAGGGTGTGGCCAGGCTGCCCAGGCCCCGTTCAGAAATCAGGAGAGGGGACTGTGGCCCAGAAATATAATTGCTCAGAACTTACTCCAAGACCAGACCAGTCATTTCCCACCCCAGGAAAACAGAGAAGGCCCTCCCAAGTAAAAACTGTTGCAAAACCTACTTAACAAATAACGCCGTGGTTATGAAGGCCTCCAGAAGTCAGAGCAAAGGGCTTCCAGGTAGAAGAAAGAACCAACGGGAGACACACACACACCCTTTAAAGGACTTGGGCCAATCCTTGCTTCGTAATTCCTAGAATTCCACATAGTGTAAGGGCCTAGAGCTGACCTGAACACAGACTTTTAGACTTCCTGAGTATGCACAGGACACTCACAGGACTGTTCACTCTCCCTGTGTCAGGTGGCTTAACCTTAGAGAGGCCAGAAGGACATGTCTGTCACTAAAGTGACATTGCAACTTAGAAACAGCCCAGCCAGCCTGATTGGTGGGGGAAGGGGTCTCTGAAAAGGAAGGGAGAGAACAGCACAAAACTGGCATCTTCCTCTCCACTACTCCTTCGCCCATTTCATAAGGGATCCCTGCCCCCCACCCCCACCCGCAGTAACAGGAAAGTGCACGGCGATGAAGCAAGACTGTTTTCTCCAAAGAACAGCTAAGGGTAAATATTTGCTGGGGTAGGCATAAAGCAGGACATATTAGAATTTGACCCTTATTGAAAATGTGAAACTGGGAGCATTAGAGGAATCTGTGAACCACCCTTCCCCTCAGCCTTGAGGAAGGACAATGACACGGGGTTCCGTGAGTCCTGGCTCCGCCCAGAGCCTGAATGGTGCCCCAGCCTCACCCTGGGGGCAAGGGTGACTGTAACCAGGAGCACATACCCTAACTCCCAGCAGGAAGTGGAACTCAGCTAGTGACAGGAGTCACTCGGGCAGTGGCAGAAGACAGAAAAGGAAGGAAAAGGAAGGTCCTTCACCCCGAGAGAAAATGGTCAGGGGTCATTTTCCCAAGCACCTGGAGCCGGACAACGCAGATCCTAGACATTCTCAAAAGCAAACCTGTGGTCCCCTATTCCCCCTCTGCTTCCCAAGTCTCTTGGCAACTCTTAACCTTCTCCAACCTGGCACTGCCTCAGGCAATAAACAATTGCTGAGCTAGATTCCCCTCCCTCAAAAAGTCTAAGTCAAGTATCTCAACCTGCCCACCCTGGGAGGTGGTCGGGGTAGCAGTGTAGGGATGCCACCCCCACCCCCACCTCACCCTCAGCTACCGCTGACGAAATTCACAGAGGTTGGTCATTTACCCAAGGTCATGCCAGGGCCCCATCCAAGGCTGCCTCGGAACAGCTGCTCCTTCCAGTCACCCCACCTACTGCATCCCTTTCCCCTCCAGACTGGGCAGCTTGCTCTGAGCCCCAGAGCGCCAACTCACACCCTCGAGAGACTTCCAGTCACATTCTGGAGAATTCTCCTTCTTAAACCCTCGAGTTTTCCAGAAAACTCCACCAAATTCACTCTCCCACACCCTCAGACCCCTAAGTCCCAACATCACACACATCCAACTTTGTAGAGGAGCCCTGGGGGGGGCAGTGGTTAAGAGCTCAGCTGCTAACCAAAAGGTCGGCAGTTTGAATCCACCAGCCACCCCTTGGAAACCCTATGGGGCAGTTCTACTCTGTCCTTTAGGGTTGCTATGAGTCAGAATCGACTCGACGGCAACGAATATCTTTGTAGAATGACCAAAGGGACCCCTTTGACTCCTTCTCCTCCTCATTTTACAGATGACAGAACTGCACAGAAATTAAGTCTTGCCTGCGGCCGAAGAGCTCATAAGTAACAAATCCGGGATGAGAATCCAGATCTCCCAACATATTCAATGCCTCTAATTTCAAATACCTCCCACCTTTTCACACATAACACTTCTGAACAACTCCCTCCCAAACACACACCCACACAACACTCTCCTTTCTTCGGCTCTTCTGGGGGGCACTCAGACCCTCTTAATATCAGCTCAGAGCTCCCACCTCTCAATCACATTGGATTAGTCCCCCCCACACACACCCCCAACACCTCCTCTAGGCTTCCCACTCTACTTCTGATCTCCCTTTCACTACTGTAGGTCCCCCTTAAGCTGCTTCCACACCCCCAAAGTCCATCTGAAAAAAGACCCTGCTGTAGCATACCTTCACGTCTCCCCTCCACCACCTAAAAAGAGAACACAATTCTTCCTGGACACCCACCTCTTCCCCCCAAAACTCCTTAATCTCTCTTACAACACATACACACTCTCCCCTCCCAGGACCGCTTCTCCAGAAGCCCCCTTCCTTACCCCCAAAATTCCTGTCTCAGCCTATCCATCACGCATTCCCTCCCTAAGAAGACTTTCTTTTTCCTAAACCAACCTCTCTCCCATGATCACCCACCATCCCAGCTCACACACCCCCCATCTCAACTGTTCCTCCCACACTTTACTGTGCTTTTCAACCTCGCAGCAATTCTTTAGAAATCCCTCCCCAGAATGCCCCAAATTCTCTCCACTATCTCTCTTGGGACTCTCCAGCTCCTAGGGAATTCGCTATTCCTCCCATCTCCCAATCTCCTCCTCTTCCCCTTAGAAATGGGCACCCCCTTACCGCAAAAAAAAACTCACCCCTTTCAAAAACTTCCTATTCACAGGTCCCCTCAGCACCCACCCCTCTTCGGACCCCTAGTCCTGCCAGATCTCCTTAGCACCCCTACCCCAGCCTCACACCACACGCCCTGTCTTTTCACACCCAGCTCTTCCCTAGAAGAGCCCTTTTAGTCTCCTCACCTTCCCAGCCTCCCCAGTCCTCCCACCTACACCTTCCTTGGTACCCCCACGCCACTTCCAGATTCTCCATTCCCTTCGGAGCTCCCCAATCCAGCGCTTCCAGCACTCTCCAGACCTTTCTGTGCTCCAAATAACCCCCTTCGTAGCCGAGCCCCTCTTCAGTCTCCCAAACCCCTCATTCCCTTCCCAGACCCTCCTGTTTCTCCTCTCAGTACCCTCAGCCCATTCCCTGAGCCTTCAGTTCTCCCTCAGACCACAATCCCATCTTAAGACTCCCCAATCATCTCCTCGGTCTCCCCCAATTCCCAGCCCAGACCCTCCAATTCCTTAACCGGGGTTCCTGATTCCTTTTCTTTGGACTCCCTAGCGCCCTACTCAGCCGTTAATTATTTTTCAGACCCCCAGTTCCTTCCTCAGGTCCCCAAATCCCTTCCCAGACCCGCCAACTCCTTCCCAAGACGCCCAATTCCCATCACGGACCTTCCAGTTCCCTCTCGGGGCCCCCAGGCCCGTTCCCGGCCCCCGTGCCGAGCAGCCCCCATCCCGTCCGGCCCGCGGGCCGCGCACCTTGCGCTGCTGCTTCTCCCAGGCCGGGTCCAGCAGCAGGTCCCGGTCCCAGTCGTCCTCCTGGGCCATGTAGTCGCCCACGCTACCCCCGCCGCCGGCGCCATTGCCTGCGCTGCTGGGGCCGTACTGGTACGACTGGTTCGCCGCGTGGTAGTCCACCATTCCGCCGCCTCTCGCTCGCCTACCAGCCCGTCCGCTCCCGCCCCTCTGCCCGAGACGCCGCCGCCGCCGCTACCGCCTCAGCTGCTTCGGCCCGCCCGCACGCGCGCGTCAGCCCAACCAGAAAAGCCCTGAGGCCCCCATCGGAGCGTTTGGCGCCTGCGCAGAAACCACTCTCGCCCCGCCCCCGCCGCGTCTCCAGAAGCGATGAGGCGCTCCGCCCCTCCCGCGAGATCGCGCGCGTCCACAGCGTGTGGGCGGAGTCAGTCAACATGAATGATGCCTGAGGAGGGTCTCCTCGTCCCTCCTGCACTTGCTCAGGCGTGGCCTGGATCCCCGTTCCGCAACGAATTCCCCGAGCGCCTACTACGCATTGGCGCTAAGCAAGACAGACAAAACTCCCTTCCCTCATGGAACTACTTTCTAGTGAAGAGAGACTACAAACAAAAAAATTTTAAAGTATATAGTATATTTGAAAAGAGCCCTGGTGGCCCAATGGTTAAGCGCTCGGCTGCTAACCGAAAGGTCGGTGGTTCGCACCCACCAGCCTCTCCACGGAAGAAAGATGTGACAGTCTGCTTCAGTTAAGATTTCAGCCTAGGGAATCCTATGGGGCAGTTCTACTCTGTCTTATAGGGTCGCTATGAGTCAGAATCGACTCCACGGCAGTGGGTTTGGTATATTCGAAGGTGGCAAGTATTATGGAGGAAAAATCAAGCGAGAGCTGCAATGCAAATAAAGTTCTCAGGGTAGGCTTCACGGAGATGGTGGGCATTTGAACAAAGACTTAAAGGATTCACAAAATGGACATAGGAGTTAGGTTAGATTGAAAAAGGAACTGGCTGACTGGGCAGGTAAAGGATTATCTGGGCTAGGCTTATCATTCATTCATTCAACAAACATTTATTAAGCCCCTACGATGTGCCACCACCATCCATCTACCAGTCTGTCATACTGTAATGGTTAGTGTGTTGCTGTGATGCTGGAAGCTATGCCACTGGTATTTCCAATACCAGCAGGGTCATCTATGGTGGACAGATTTTAGTGGAGCTTCCAGACTAAGACAGACTAGGAAGAAAGGCCTGGTGATCTACTTCCAAAAATGAGCAAATGAAAACGTTATGGATCACAACCGAATATTATCCGATATGATGCTGGAAGATGAGCCCCCTTGGTTGGAAGGCATTATACAATAGCCGCAACAATGCACTCAAACATATCAATGATCATGAAGACAGCACAGGACCAGGCAATGTTTCTTTCTGTTATGGTCTCCCCATGAGTAAGGCCCGGATTGCAAATAACAACACAAGAGGGGAAATTTGCCAGCAGTGTGAAGGGAGGGGGTTGTGGCTCAGCCCAACTTCCTGGGGTGGGGATTAGAAGACATGGCTTCTCCAAGTACGGACGCTGCAAGGATCCTTCCCTCCCTCTGCCAAAGGCACATGAAGGGATCCAAGCACAAGCAGAGGAAGGGCACAAGGCCCAGGGAGCAGCCCACTTTCCCAGAAGATGCTGGGACCTGGACAAAGACCCAGGAGTGTCAGCTGTTTCCAAAGCTGGGATGGGACTGGGCAGGACAGGCTCTTCCTACCCAACTTGGATGACAAGCCTAGGATTCGTGTGCTGGGCCTGGCCTGGTGGGAAAGGCCCTCAGGTCATGCTCCTCTCCTGTCTGCTCCTGGTGGCACTGAGAAACCTCCCAGACCAAGGGCAGAGAGATGGAGGGATGGCCCCAGTCAGGTTTAAAGATTCCCTTTAATTGCCATCCTTGAGGCCACCTCCTGGCAGCCATCCAGGAACAGTGCAATAATAATAGCTGATGTGTCTATTGAAGGTCCAAGGGGCAGCAGGCTGGGGGCTCAAAGGAAGCAGGAGGAGACCAGGAGTTTCGAGTGAAGGGACATGGCCAATGGACCCTATTCAGTTGTCACTGAGTCAGTTCTGACTCACGGCGACCCCACGTATGTCAGAGTAGGAGTGTGCTCTATAGGGTGTCCAATGGCTATTACTTTTCAGAAGTAGATCCTCAGGCCTTCCCTCCAAGGCGCCTCGGGATAGATTCAAATGGCCAACCGTTCAATTGTAGCTGAGCGCTTAACCATTTGTGCCATTGGCAGCTTTAGGTTCCTCATTTCTGCGTTATCACTTCTTGGAACCCTCAAGACTTTGGTCAGAATTTATTAAATGCTCCATCTCATTGTCAACTGTACTTAGGGGTGACAAAGGGGAGAGGGCTCTGTCCTCACAGTGGGAACATGAGAATAGATACTAGGATGTCTAGAGGGGACCATGGAGGCAGCTGAAACAGCAGCCCAGACCCCAGGTGGGCAGTGACAGGCAGCCACCAGGATAGAATTTGGAGACAGCAACATGTTTATGAGCCCTTACGATGTGCCAAGCTCTTCACATGCCTAACTCAAAATAACACGAAGTGGGTGCTCTTATGACTCTCCCCATCAATAAAGCTGAGATACAGAGAGAGGCTGATAAATCCAGAGGCCACTTGGTGGGCCTTGGAGTCCAGACAGGCTTTCTCCAGGGCGAGGACTCTGGAAAGAAAGCCCTCCTAGAGCTGGAAATCAGCAATGGGGACAAGACGTGACTTCCAAAGAGAGGTCAAGGCCATTTCCTCTTCCCCTCCAGAGCAGCCATGGTGTCTTAGTCATCCAGTGCTGCTGTAATAGAAATACCACAAGTGGATGGCTTTAACAAACAGAATTTTATTCTCTCACAGTCTAGGAGGCTAGAAGTCCAAATTCAGGGCATTAGCTCCAGGGGAAGGCTTTCTCTGTCAGCTCCAGGGGACGGTCCTTATCGTCAATCTTCCCCCGGTTTAGGAGCTTCTCAGCACAGGAACCCCGGGTCCAAAGGATGTGCTCTGTTCCCGGCACTGCTTTCTTGGTGGTATGAGGTTCCCGTCTCTCTGCTCGCTTTTCTCTTTTATATCTCAAAAAAGACTAAGATACAACCTAATCTTTAGATTGAGTCCTGCCTCATTAACATAACTGCCTTTAATCCTGCCTCATTAACATCATAGAAGCAGGATTTACAACACATAGGAAAATCACATCGGATGACCAAATGGTGGACAATCACACAATCCTGGGAATCACGGCCTAGCCAAGTTGACAGATATTTTGGGAGGACACAGTTTAATCCATGACACATGGCCAGCTGTGCAGGCTGTATCTTACACAAAGGCGCCTGCCACATGGGTGAGTGGGAGTTCTGCCCACCCAAAAGGGATGACTTTTGCTGACTGGTACAAACATAGCAGGTGGGTGGCAACATCCCAGTCCTTCCTCCTTCTACCCACCTCAGAGCTGGCTCCTTTTCCTTGCTTTCCGCAAGGTTTGGATACTGCTCAGGTCTGGAGCCCAGGGAAAAGGGTGCCCTGCCCCTCCCTGGCACCCCAACTGAGTGCAGGCAAGTGGGGAGGGCTGGGAAGGCCAGGAGCTCATACGCTGCCCTCATCCTCCTTCCACAAAGTTCATGCACACTTGCCTCCAAGAACGAAGTTCTCTCTCAGGGGCAGCCACCAAGCTACACTAAGGGCTGAACATCTTCTGTGGCATTGAATTGCCACCATTTTCCAGAGAGGCAGGCAGTGTGGTCCTTCCTCCCACCCCCCACCACCTACCTGTGGATGAGACCACAGGCTGGGGCGTTTGTGGGGGAGAAGACACTTGCCCAAGGTCATTCTGCCAGATTAATGTCCGGAACAGCTCATGTGTCAAATGGGAAGAGTTCCTGGATGGTGCAAAGGTTAACATGATCAGCTGCTAACTGAAACGTTGAAGGTTTGAATCCACCCAGAGATGACTCACAAGAAAACCTGGTGATCTACTTCCAAAAAGTCAGCCATTGACAACCCTACGGAGCAGAGCTGCACTCTGACACACATGGGGTCACTGTGAGTTCGAACTGACTCAATGGCAACTGGTGAAATAGGAATGACAGAGCTGTAACATGGAAGACGGTGAGAAGCAGCAGGACCAGGGGACTGGCAGGAGATGCGACAGCAGGCTTCCCAGCCTATGGAGTGAGAAAGCTGAGCACCTTCGTGCAGGAGGCTTGCTGGTGGAGTGGGGTACCTCTGGACACTTGTCAGGGGAGCTAGGCTTGCCGACCCACAGAGCTAGAGAGCTGAGCACCTTTGGGCCAAGGTTTACTGGTGGAGAGGGGTGCCCCAGGCACTTATCAGCAGTTAAAGAGCTCTGTAACACTTGCCCCAGCAGGGCAGAGGCCAGCCGAGGGGCCTAGGGGCAAAGGGTGAGAGGAATGCCTGTAGGCACGCCTGAGAAGAGGCTGTCCTGACTGAAGAACTGTAACCTGTTACTTCCCTAATAAACTCCATAACTGAGTATGCTCTGTGAGTTGTACGTGGCCATTGCAACGAATTATCAAACCCAGCAGAGACATAAGAGTGCCGTGGGAGGGATGGCTGGTGTCAGAATTGGTAAACAGGTTGGAAAGAAGAGCTATGTCTGCCCTCCGCCTCATAGAAATCAGCCTTAGGCTGTTGATCTTGATTCTCCTCCCCCATCAAGTGAAGTGAGAGGTCAGGAGCCTCCACCATGCCATTCTTATATCCTTGTTTCAATTTTCAATCCTCAATTTTCTCTTGAAGTCTCTCCAAACAAAGGAGTACTGGGGACTAGTTTGCAGCCTTGGCGAAAACCCTGCTGACTCTGTAATTAATAATGGGGCCAAGAACAGGCTAGGCCCTGAATGGAGAACTGTACTGGTAAGAGATCATCAAATGCTCCCAACTGCGAGAAGGACGCCATCATTCTCCTCCGTACAGAGATGGAGACACTGAGATAGAGAGGTGGTGTCACTGGGCTAAGGACACACGGTGGGCTAAGTGACAGAGCCAGGATTCGAGGCAGACAGAATCCCCCTCAACACACATGTACGGCCTCTGCCAGGCCCACCTAGTGCCGGCATCTGTGAGGACTATCTCCACATGCATGGCGTCTGCCGGGGTCAACCAAACACCCGCGTCTGTGAGGACCGTCTCCACATGCGTGGCGTCTGCCGGGGTCAACCGAACACCCGCGTCTGTGAGGACCGTCTCCATGCGCACGGCCTCTTCCGGGTCCACCCAGTGCCTGTCCTGAGGGCTGTCTCCAGGGAGGTCCAGCTGCCAAGGCAGATGTCTCTCTCCCCCACCAGGAAACCAGGAGGCCTGCTCCTGCTCACCTAGGTGCTCAAGAGGGCAGAAGAGCCTAGGCCACCCAGCTGTAGGGTTGGGCACCTCCATCCTTTCACACCCTGCTCCTCCTTGCTGACTCACTGCTGCCCCAGCTGCCCTTCCTGTGCATGAATTTCCTCCCTGTACCCCGAGTCGTAACCTGACAAGTCAGGAGGGTGGGGATGGAGGTTCTGCTCGATGGGCAGGAGAGGAAGGAAGGAGGCGGAAGGACCGGCAAAGGGGCCCAGCTAGGACAGAGGTGACTCCAGCACAGAGCGGGGCAGAGGCCTGCTCCCAGGCTCCCTCTGGTGGGCGAGGGGCAGAGGCAAGAAGCCAAAGACACAGCGGAGCTAAGAAGTCAACACAGCTTTATTAAACACCTGCAAAGTTACTGAGACGAGGCCATGATGCTAGACACACCTGTGAAGAAGAGACGGGAAGACCAGGTCAGTGCGGGAAGAACGGGAGAGGAACCTCCAGCCACCAACCACAGCGGGTCTCAGACCCCTGCTGGGCCCGGGTCATCAGCACAAAGGAAATTGGGGCAGTAGTTAAAAGCACGGACTCTGAAGCAAGGAAGCCTAGGTTCAAATCCCAGCTCTGCCACTTACACCAGCTGGGTGACTCTGGGCAAATTACTTAACATCTCTGTGCATCAGTTTCCTCACCTGTCAAACGGGGCTGCCAACAGCATCTATCCCGTACGATGGCTGTCAGAATTAAATGAGGGGCTTAGAGCAATGCCCAGCACTAAGTAAGTGCTGTTGTTATGTGCTATTTGCAAGATACTCCAAGCACAGGACTTGGGTCTCCTCGCTGCAGACCTCTGCTCAAGGGAGTTCTCACACAGAATCCTGACAGACAGGGGCTCATCTAACTTGGAGATGAGGTTCCACTGTCCACGAGCGCAGATAACTGACCATTCAGTGCTGTTCCTCAGGGTCTTGGTCACCTAGTGCTGCTGTAACAGAAATACCACAAGTGGATGCCTTTAACAGAGATTTACTCTCTCATGGTCTAGGAGGCTACAAGTCCGAATTCAAGACACCAGCTCCAGGGGAAGGCTTTCTGTCTCTGTCGGCTCTGGAGGAAGGTCCTTGTTATCAATCTTCCCCTGGTCTAGGAGCTTCTTCTTAACGCAGGGACCCCAGGTCCAAAGGACACGTTCCGCTCCTGGCTCTTCTTGCTTGGTGGTAATGAGGTCCCTCTCTCTGCTAGCTTGTTCAATCTTTTATATCTCAAAAGAGATTGACTCAAGATACAACCTAATCCTTTAGACTGTGTCCTGCCTCATTAACACAACTGCCTCTAATCCTGCCTCAGTAACGTCGTAGAAGTTAGGATTCAGAACACGTAGGATGATTACATCACATCACAAAATGAAAGACAACCAGACAATACTGAGAATCACGGCCTAGCCAAGTTGACACATATTTTGGGGGGACATCGTTCAACCCAAAACACTCAACTAAGTACCAAATCATCTGGTTTGTACTGAGAAGCCACACCGTCCAATACGTATCTTTAAAACATCAGAATCTCACTCAAGAGGGTGGGCAGAAGACCTAGGGCCCAAGGGAACTCAGCCCTGTTCCCTGGTTCTTACTGCAAGGCATCCCCAGTGAGCAGAATGGTGAGGCAGCACACGCTGACTCAAGAGCTGCTTCGTGCTCTTTTTCAGTCGAGCAATTGGTCGAATCTGTGTTAGTTAAACATGCGTATGATGGACAGTACCCACGGTTAATGTTCGCATGTAACTATGTACCTGGCTCTTTGCAAAGTCTTATACGTGGGTCAGCTCACCTCACACAGCCCCATGAGGTGGAATTATTGTTGATGAGCAACTTACAATGACGGTAGCTACCTCACAGGGCGAAGTAAGGATCACATGACTAATAAGTATAAAAAACTACAGGATATTTGTCGTAATTAATGTTGCTGTCATCCCCATTGTCATGGATTGAATTGTGTCCCCCATATCAATTTGGCTGGGCCATGATTCCCAGTATTGTGTGATTGTCCACCCTTCTGTCATCTGATGTGATTTTCCTGTGTTGTAAATCCTGTAAGTATAATGTTAATGACGTGGATTAGTGGCAGTTATATTGATGAGATCTACAAGATTAGATTATGTGTTAAGCCAATCTCTTTGGAGATATGAGAGAGAAGTGAGCGGAGAGACATGGGGACCTCATACCACCAAGAAAGCAGCACTGGGAGCAGAGTGCATCCTTTGGACCTGGGGTCCCTGCGCCTGAGATGCTCCTCGACCGTGGGAAGACTGATGACAAGCACCTTCCTCCAGAGCTGACAGAGAGAGAAAGCCTTCCCTTCCCCTGGAGCTGGCACCCTGAATTTGGACTTCTAGGTATTTGTTAGAGCAGTACTAGATAACACATCCATTTTTTAGATGAAAAAACTGAGGCACAGGGTGGTAAAGCCATCTACCCAAAGTCACACAGCTATGAAATAAAGCAGCCACAATTCAAACCCAGCTACCCCAACTCCAGAGCCCGCACCATTAAGCATTCTACTGTTCTAGCAGATGCCAAGGCTGAGGACTGAGCCCCCCAAGTATAAAAGACACCCACCACCAGAACCAGTAAGGGTGTGGGGACACCCTGCAAGGCCCCTCTAGGCCCCAGAAAGTCTTACTGAGTGTTGTGAGGCAGGACCCAGGCCTGGAAGTTCCAGGGAAGGACACCCAGCACCCCCAGTATCCCTCCCTGGCTAGCAGCCCTGTGACAGGTCAGTGGCATCTGGAAGTAAGCATTTCCTGGCCCTGCACAAGAACATCTCTACCTGATTCCTTTGGGCCTCAGCCCTGGTCTCTGTTGAAGGTCACCTTGCCCCCCACCCCCGTACAGCCCCGACAGCCTGAGGCCTCAGGCTGCCACTCACTGTCAAAGTCGATCTTCTCCACAATGTTCTTGGGCTTAATGCTTTCTTCCTGGCTACAGATGAAGATCTGGCCCGACTCGTCGGCGCTCCAGCCGTACTTGCTCATCCACACCTTTAGCTGGCTGTCTGCAGGGACACAGGCAGCACGGGGGCTTCGCTTACCCCAATCCCACCACCCCAGGGTGCCTGGACACCAGGGGAATCAAAGCTCGCCAGGCCAGGGCATCCTTGTTGCCTGACTGCTTCAGACTGGACCGAGAGAAGCCACCAGCATCTTCTCTCCAGGCTGCGACAGCCCCACAGGTCTCACTGCGGCCGCCCTGCCCTTCTGGAGCTCATTCTCCAACCCACAGCCAGGGGGCGCTTTCTCGTTTTCTCACATTTAACATGACAAGGCTCCTGCCTTCACTTCTTTTACTTGTATTATTTCTTTTCTCTTCCAGTGCAAATCTTGGCTCCTAACGAGAGTAATGTACTTACTTTCCTGCTTTTCCCCACAACCCTCAAGAAAGGTTTTCCAAATCCCAATGCGGTCGTTACCACTAACGATAAGCCTACTGCATTGGGTTTGAGAATGTCTTTGTAATTATTTTTTCGTCCTTAGAAAACATGCCAGCAAGAATGTATAGCCAGAACATTGTTTTCGGTGACTTGAAATAAATCTTCTCTCTCTGAGTGTTATCCATCTAATCAATATAGTTAGATTCAGTTGCTTCTTTTTACTCACTTCTAAGGTTGCTGCCACCCCCTCGTAACTTAACTTCACTTTTTCAAGATGTACAACAGCTACATGATGAAGACACTTGGTATAGCGCTTGACACAAAGGCTCCAGTAAAAGGCAGCTTCCGCTACATTGGTAAAACGTCAAGTGTTTTGTTACCACAATTTACCACAAATAAAAAAAAAAAAAAAAATTCACTTCCGCTACTGAAAAATCTACCCGGATCAAATGGCAAAACGCATGTATGAGAAGGTTCTCAGAGACATCTCACCCCCAAACCCCCATGCTCCTCCTCGTTCTCGCTTCCTCTCAGGAGTCACCATTTTCCTTTCTGCATTTTCTTTTTTTTTTTTTTTTTCAAAAACAAGTAAATACATACACATACAAACATACCGATACTTTCCTTTTTTGGATGAATCGTTTAAAAACATAAATCCGGTCCCGTCCCTCCTCTGCTCAGAACCCCCTGTGGTTCTATCTTATTCAGGTAAAAGACAAAGCTGTCAGGAGGCCCCACGTGGTCAGGAGGCCACCCTCCAACCACAGCGCCTCTGACCTCTCCCCCATCTGGACTGGCCCTCGCTGCCCCGCCAGCACAGACAGCCCCTCTGCACGGCCTGCCTGAGGAGCTCCCCTCTGTGCTGCCCGAGACCGCCCGTCTCGCTCCACCAGGGACCCGCGCTCCATGAGGGAACGGCTCCACTGGGGCCACCTCCTTGTGTCTTGTACACATCTATCTCGATCTGCTGTCTGTTTTGCTACCTCCGGGAGAATAAAGCTGCGTATTCTCTGTTTTGTTCACTGCGGGGTCCCCAGGGCCTAGCACAGTATTGGGCATTTATGCTGAATCAGTGAAGGAACAGTGCAAGATCTCTCCCAACAAAGGGATGTCTTATACCAACTCCCGTTGCCCTAATGGACTGGGCCTTCAGTCACCACCCGGTGAGGCAAGACAGCCCATCTGCCGAGCTGGCCAAGGCTCACCGCCCCGACCACCCACCCCCAATCTCCCAGATTGACACACGGGACCCAGAGAGGACCTTACCTGTCAGATCCCCAAGCATCTCGGCCAGCAGCCAGCGGTCAATGTGCTGGTAAGTGATGCCCACGACGTGGCAGATAACTGTGGAGGTCAGAGACAAAGACGGTGAGGGCCTCCCACGCCAGGACTCTGCTCCCACTCCCTACCCCCTGCTCCCTCCCAACAGGGGGCCCAGGCACAGGGAGGGGCTTACATTTTCGGACAGAGTCTTCAAAACCCGTAATGCCTTCCAAGAGGTCCATGTTTTCATCCAAGGCTTGCTGTGAGGGGAAGGAGAATATTCACGACGACGTTAATAACAGCAACTAACGTTTCAGCAGTCACCTCGCGTGCCAGGCATTCTCTCATAACCCTGACACAACCGTTACTGTGCTTATGCCCATTTTAGAGATGAGGAAGCCAAGGTGCAGAGCAGCTAAGTGATTTGCTCAAGGTCATGGAGCTGGGTTTGAACCCTGGCAGGCAGGACCCACAGTCACAAGAGGGGACAGATACAGATTAGCGAGCTGCACTCTACCACCTGCCCTTGGTCCTGTCTCACTCAGGGTGAAGGTCGAAGCCCCCACCATGACCTGCCTCTGTCACCCGTGAGTTCATCTCCTCCCACTCGTCCCCTTGCTGGCCCTGCTCCCAGTACCTGGGCCTCCTCAATACTCCTCAGACAGGCCAGGGCGCTCCTGCCTCAGCACGGGCTGTTCCTGTCGGGAACTCCCTTCCCTCAAGGCCAGCACCCTCACCTCCTTTAGGTCACTAGTCCAATGTCACCTTCCCAGGGAGGGCTCCCTCCCACGTCAGTGAGGGAAATGAGGAGCCCACCAGGATACTCTGAGGGAGAAAACCAGGAGAGCAATGGTCCGGGTGAAGGAAGCGCTCGGGAGCAGAGCGTGATCGCCCGTCTCAGAGGTGGCCGACTGGGCAGCTAAGGTGAGGCCTGACTTAGCGAGGTGGGGGTCACCACTGGCCTGGCCAAGGGCAGTTTCAGTGGAATGTCTGCTGGGGGGTGGGGAATCACCAAAGTCTGTATGGAGTGGGTTAAGCCGGCAGGGCAGGAAGCAGAGACTGAGCACAGATGACGCACCCCAGGAGCAGGGTGACCAAATGTCCCAGTCTGCCCAGAACTGAGGGGTTTCCTGGGATGTGACGCCTTCAGTTCTAAAAACAGGAGTCCTAGGCAACCAGGACTGGTGGTCCCTCTGCCCAGCAGAGCGGCTGTAAAGAGATGCAGAGAACAGCGGCCGCTGGTCGGGGATGTGGGGGTCCAGGGCGAATTTTCCTTTTCAGACAGAACTGCACGTTAGACGTGCCTCTGTGGTGAGAGGAACAGCCCAGAGTGAGATGTTCCCGCGGAGCAGGGAGAGCACTGAGTGGGCGAGGGAGGGGGACTCAGTGCACCGTGGAGGGGTGGCTTCAGACAACCCCTCCCACAAGAGAGGAAAGTGGGCGGGTCAGCTGCACATGCGGTGTGGGGGTCAGCTGCACAAGGGGTGTGAGGTCAGCTGCACATGGGGTGTGGGGTCAGCTGCACATGGGGTGTGGGGGTCAGCTGCACATGGGCTGTGGGGTCAGCTGCACATGGGGTGTGAGGTCAGCTGCACATGGGGTGTG